AATAATGTCATGATTTCATTACATAATGGGGGCTAATCAAACCACACCAGGCATGTCCAGCTCTGTCCTGGAGTTGGTCCAGGGAACAGGTGTGTCCTGTGGTTAGGAACCATGACACCAAGCTCACAGCATTTGTTCTATTTGACACCATAAAAAGACCAAGAGATCTCAACTAAACTGTAGTGTGGATGTCACATCTGTGGGTGCCACACACTCCCCCATGTGAATACAGAAAGGTTAATTACCTCTGGAGGTGTCTGCCGAGAGTAGAGCTGGTATCTCAGGAATGTCCAAAATGGCTTGATGGAGCAAGAAAGGAGACTGGCTCAGGGTTGCTCTAGTGGTTTGGTGGTGGAGGCAGAGTGAGGGTTCTCACTCACAGAAAGGAGTTTGTGGGGTTTCAACCTCCAGATGGCATCAAATGAGGGAGTTCCTGTGATTCCTAACAAGATTCACCTTGTGTTGGAAAGAAAGGAGATGACGGAGGAATGAGCATTAAGTTATCAACAGTCAGACATCAAAACAATAGTGTGATGACTTATTCTATATAGCAACTATAAAAATCATGAATAAAAAGAAAAGATCAGTGTCCAATATGGGTGGACAACAACCAAGTCTACAAAAAAAGAGAACACTGCTTATAAGACTAAGCAAATAATAATTAAAAGTAGGACTGAAACGAGGAGAAAGGGGTGAAAGGCACGGGGCAGGGAATTAGACATGGGTCCTGTTCCAATGTCTTCTGTGGAGTCATTTCACCATCTAAGATCATCCGCTTATTCTGAATGTATTAGATCTTCTCCAAAACATCACAAGTGCCAGAGGATTCCTCAGGATATTCATTTTAATATCTTCTATTTGAGTAGCCTTACAATTGTGTAAAATTCTTAGTTATTATTATTATAATTAGAGTATAGGGTCTCTGTCGCACAGGTTGGAGTGCAGTGGCACAATCATAGCTCACTGTAACCTTGAACTCCTGGCTCACATAATCCTTCTGCCTCAACCTCCTGAGTATCTAGGACTAGACGGATGCACCATCACACACAGCTTATTTTTTTTAATCTTTCATAGAAATGTGGTCTCTCTATGTGCCCAGGCTGGTCTCAAACACATGGTCTCATGTGATTCCCCTGGTTTTGCTTCTCAAACTGCTGGAATTATAGGCATGAGCCACCATATCTGGACTGAACTGATTCTGTAGTTGCAACATATCAACCCAAGAACGGACTCCCCGAATTTTTTTTCTGCAGTGTTTTGGTTAATCGCGCCTGAAAAGATGTATCCCAATATGTTCCAACAGCAGAATTTTTTTTTCTGATGTTTCTTCCGATAGACATAATTTCTTGGTCAAAGATCGCAAAATACAGTTAAAAGATGACATAAAAAGGCAACCTTAAAATTTTGGTGATTGGAGTGAGTATAAAAATTGCTTTCAATATTGTGTAACAAACACCTCCTGCAGTAGGACGATGGTGAGCAATGAAGGTAACATTTCTAAATGTATGAATCTTCCAGCTCCCGACTCATAGGGCAATAATGGATGTGTCCTGAGGGAGGGACCAGAATGTCTTAGTGCTAGTAGGATAACTCTTGGCCAAAAGATTTTCCATATTTTTAAAAGTTTTTTTTTTTACTTAAAGATGCTATTTTTCAACATATCCAGAATATTAATAGGACTGATTTCTGTATGATATGAACAATGGCAATGCCTTCTATGTTTAGATAATATTACAAACCAGGTTAAGACTCAATGTTTCCTGTAATGATGCACCAGAACATTATTCGAGTTTCCATATTAGTTTTTTTTTCTCTTTGTTCCCATTTGGTTTCACATTTATATGTCCGGTCTCTAGAATGTATGATTTTATGTAAAACTGTCATTTCTTGCTGCACATTTTGATGGGGTTTCCAGAAGATTTGAAAACCTCTGCTTGCAGCACATTTTAAAATTCTGCACTGCAGTAGAACATCTGTATTTAATCCCAGTCTTCTGTTAATTGACAAGGTCTAATAAGTGCAGTAACTTCTGCCTTCTTGGATGATTTTACATCAGGTAGAGGAATATATCATAAATGAATGTACTAGTAATATAAATTATTAGTTAATAACCACCACTTTTATTAGGCATTAGTCATCAAGAAATAATGCTAAATCAAGGGTCTCAATGGGAATGTTACTTAAGGCATATACAAAATATTTTGTGAATCTAGACAAAATAGATGTGAACACACACTTAGTATCCAGCCATGTCTCCCGTCTATCACATTATTAACCACACAGTAATTGTCTTCACTTGGGACTTGTTCTAATTTTCAAATTCATTACTTATTTATGTTAATACTTCTAAGTTATGATGTGCGACCATTTTAGTAGAGAGTGAAGAAAGACAACCTAGGCTGACTAAACAATGAGGAAAATCACAACATGATGAAACAGGAAGCCGGAAGTGAGTGGCTCCGGGATTGAATAATTTGACAGCTCATCTTCCCAGGCAGTTTCTTTTCTCAATTTTCCACACTGATACATCCAGAAAGTCAGCTTCTACCGCCAGGGGACTCCCATCATACAGTGACATGGTGACAACATTCCCAAGAGTCACACACATATATTAAATATTGTCTGGAATTGGGGATGAGACATTTCTGCAATTCTCCTCTGAAGGACCAGGAACACCTCAACTGACCACTTCTCCTGCCTCCATGACTAGAACTGCACCACATTCCCACATGGACCCTCATCCCTGATGGGAATAATAAGACACCATTGATGAGGTTGACTGTTTTATCATATAAATTACTAAAGACTGATATAAAGGTTTCAAAAACGAATTGAAGTCTGCCCTACTATGTCCACCAGAGACTACAGATCCTAAAATGATACCTTGTCTTTTCTGCTTGACTTTGTCTCTTCACCTTGTTCTGTCCTCTAGAGAATCTCTTTCAGCTCCCTCAGGTGTATTCAAGTGTTTTATTTACTGACAATTTCTCAGTTGGTGAAAGACATTAGACTAAAGGGTCCATATTCCTAGGTCCACATTCCTTGGTCCATATTCCTAGGAAGGCATAGTGACCCTGGGTCTGTGTATAACCTTGTGAGTGTTCCTGACCGTCTTCCAGGTGAGATGCTGGTCTGTGTGTTCTTGCCCTTCCCCTGGGGTAGAGTCCTCCTGTTTTCCCCAGGTGTTTGCTCATGCAGCTCCAGTGTTCTCCATCAGTGTCATCACCTTGCAGATCTGCTGCCCTGCCCTGCAGACTAAGGCTCTGATTCCATAAGAAAGACAGGTGAGCTGCTTCTCAATAGATCTTTGGCGTTACCATCTCAATTCCTGAGGCATTGAACAAGTGCACCTAGGATTCTGGTTTCAGTGACTTGCCCCTGCAGGGTAAATTCTTAGTTCTTTTGTGGGAATAAGGAAAATGGGTCTGAATACATTTCAGAAGTGTGGGCTCTTGTTATTTCCTAGACAGACACTTGGGGAAAGAAAGATTTTTGTGACTGCCCCCTTTCTTGGGGAAAGGGATTCAAGAGGATAGAATAGTTCTTGAGCATATGATCCCTTACAATTTCACACTACAACATGCTTACCACACACAATTTCTAGCAATCCTATATATATGTGTGTATATATATGTGTGTGTGTGTGTATATATATATATTTCTCTTGTAATAGGTTATATGTCATACTCCAGACTCTGCCATAGAAATATATAATTTCAAATCCTGTCTTTGTTACGCTCTACAAGAACTTGCTTCTCCTTAAACTCCAGATTTGTTGTTTGCTTGAAACTTTAAATATTGAAAGTGTTAAATAAAATTTTCAAAATTCCATCTTCTCTGTTTATCTGTTATTGTTGATGCAGTTGTAAAAACAAGAAAAATATATTCCTTTTCTATGTACATTTCCAGGCTTAATAGCAGATCTTTAGTAAAACCTAGAAAAATTTAAAAAATCAAATATTGTTCAGCTGCTTAATAGAGAAACAAATTACGGTAAATTTGTCTGCTAGAATACTACCCCATATTTATAATAAAAAAGTCTGTTATACCAAACTGACAGGTAAAGCATCTAATTGTTTATGTTAAGTAAAGTAAGCTAAATAAATCAGAATATATACTATGTTATTTCATTTATATACATTCTGATAAATTCAAATGAGTCTGCAGCAATGTAAAGATCAGTCGTTGCCAGGGAAATGGGTAGAAGAAAGAAAGAAAGGAAAAAGGATAAAGAATATAGAAGAACAAAAGGAAATATTGAGAATTCTCTTGTCCACCTTGATAATGATGACGGCTCCATCATGTTTATCAACTGTACAATATAAATATGCAAAAGATTATTATATGTAAACTAAAACTTATAAAACTTATTACAAGCAAACAAATGGATACTTAGACAAGAAAGGAATGATAGAAAGATACAAAAAGTGTGCAATAAATTTCAAAAATGACTAAGAATTTATCTGCCTATATCCTAGTTCTCACCATATTTTAGGTGAATGCTAGAATGCAGCAAAAATCACACAAGTTCTCACTACAGAAATTGGGCTTCACAACCATCCTAGGCATCCCCAGCTCTGTCCTGGAGTTGGTTCAGGGAGTAACTGGTGCCAGTGATGAGGAGCACAGGCCCAGATACCGGGGCTTGCCCATCCAGACATGAGCTCTTAGATACACCCTTAGCCCATTTTCCATGTGTGGTTTACTTTCATATCTGTACATAGAGAAACATTGACTGTGACAAAACATAATTTACACATACATGTAAAAATAAAATAGGGTGATCAGTTCAAAGTGTTTATTACAGCATAATTTTATAAGATAGCATATTTTCCAAATACCATCATTGTCACCAAACCTCTGCAAGGCACAATCATCTTATCTGGGCCCTGTCCTCTCCTCAGGCGTCCCACCCCAGAGCTTCCTATATAGTAGGAGACATGCAAATGGGGTCCTCCCTCTGCTGATGAAAACCAGCCCAGCCCTGACCCTGCAGCTCTGGGAGAGGAGCCCCAGCCTGGGATTGCCAGGAGTTTCCACTTGGTGACCAGCACTGAACACAGAAGACCAGGCATGGAGTTGGGGCTGAGCTGGGTTTTCCTTGTTGCTCTTTTAAAAGGTGATTCATGGAGAACTGAGTGTGAGGGGACATGAGTGAGAGAAACAGTGGATACGTGTGGCTGTTTCTAATCACGATGTCTTTGTGTTTGCAGGTGTGCAGTGTGAGGTGCAGCTGGTGGAGTCTGGGGGAGGCTTGGTCCAGCCTGGCGGGTCCCTGAGACTCTCCTGTGCAGCCTCCGGATTCACCTTCAGTAACTACTGGATGAACTGGGTCCGCCAGGCTCCAGGGAAGGGGCTGGAGTGGGTTGGATTTATTAAAAACAAAGCCGATGGTGGAACAGCAGCATACGCCGAATCTGTGAAAGGCAGATTCACCATCTCAAGAGATGATTCAAAGAACACACTGTATCTGCAAATGAACAGCCTGAAAACCGAGGACACGGCCGTGTATTACTGTACTAGAGACACAGTGAGGGGAGGTCAGTGTGAGCCCAGACACAAACCTCCCTGCAGGGGTGCGCGGGGCCACCAGGGGGCGCTCGGGACCCACTGAGGACGGGACAGGTCCCAGGAGCAGCTGCAGGGGGAGGTTTCCTTTGTCCTCAGCTGGAAAAGTCAGGATTGTATTTGCAGAACTCTGGAGCGTTCTAGGCTGTGATATTATATTACTTGTATTTATTATGAATTTATTATCGTTAGTATTTAAATTTTAATAATTATTAAAATTCTGTAAGTATTTTTAAGTATATACTTTCAAGAAATACACATTCCTAATTATTTGCACTAATTCCCCCAGAATTTTACGAACATTTGTTGACATCAGCAACTACATAGCTATAGGGACATAAATATATGGCCATAGAAATATGTACACGCCGGGCGCGGTGGTTCGTGCCTGTAATCCCAGGTCGTCGGGAGACCGAGGCATGTGAATTACTTGAGGTTAGGAGTTCGAGACAAGCCTGGCCAACATGGCAAAAGCCCGTCTCTTTTAAAAATGCAAAATGTGTCCGGGTGTGGTAACACACACCTGTAATCCCCTGAGGCTGAGGTAGAAGAATTGCTTCAACCCAGCAGACGGAGGTTGCAGTGAGCTGAGATTGTGCCACGGTACTCCAGTCTGGACAACAGGGCAATTCACCATCTCACAAAAAAAAAAAGAAATAGAAAGATGTATAAATACACAGACCTATGCATATATACTAGGCATTCATATTAAACATTAAAACAAAATAATTCCAAAAATATTTTCTGAAGAATCAAACTAATGATGGACTAAGTGTAAATCTTTAAATTCCTAATTGATTTCAGTTGCTTTTATTTGTTTACATGAATTGATTTCTAGTTGTTCATTTAAAAATAGCATATTGGTCATTTCCAAAGAGCTCAGAGTAAATTTCAAATGTCACAATAAATGATAAGAATTTGAGGTGATTAATGAAAACTATCTTAAATCTTAATTATCATAGTTATTCCATATTACATTCACAAATCATAACATTGTTTCTTACCTTGTAAATCTAAACAACCATAATTTGTGAATTTAAAAGAAATTTTTAAAAAATTTATCCCAGATCATTGTCTTTTCTTGACTTCCAGTTCTCACTGGATCGTCTCAAGGGCCCACCCACACCCCTGTCTCCTGAAGGCTTCTGGGAGTGGCTGATGGATGCGCAGAAGCAGGATCCCCATGTGAGTCCACATGTCCTGGAGCCTCCCTCTCCTTGGATTAGGCCATCTCCTCGGGATCACAGGGCTCTTCATTATCCTCACCCCGCTGTTGTACCAAACAAGCAACATCACACTTCAATTCACCATGCTTTCTTTTAATTTTCCAAAATGACATGAAGGCAATAAATTTAACAGTAAGTTGATCAGAAGCTAATAGGTCGAGGCCTTTTTCATATGCCAGGTTTCTTCTCAAGACTTTCCCTTTGATAGGTATTTTCCATTTCTTTATGAGATGACATACTAATATATCCATATTGGAGATTCTCCTTCTAAGTAGGCTCTGGGTCACTCACTCCTTTTATAGTAATCACCATACAAGTCCCATAGAGAAGGAGTTGGAAAATCCTGGGTTGAACCAAGATTGTGTACAGCCCTGTGGTCTTTAATGTCATGGAGTTAAAGTCAGTGAGAAACAGCTTTAGTTGTGCACGGTGACTGAATTTGCACATTACACTAGCAAAGTTGCCTTCCCATGACAAATGTGAATGCCAATTATCAGATTAATATGAATGGCTTCACAGTAGGAAAACTGATATCAAAACCTTACATCCTTTAAATTAAATTCTATCTTTGACAAGATGGGGATGGATCAACATCCATGTGAATGTTGCACTTCAGGGCCCGGCACTTGGAAGAGCCCCTCCAGGGCACAGTGAAGGCCTCTATAAACGTGGCTGAAATCACCACATTCAATGAGTTTTGTAGAATAATTGCTGAAGAAGTCAGCTGGAAGTGCCCTGAAATCTCACACCTTCTGCATAGAGG